CAGAAGCTGCACGCTTCCTAGGGTTGCCGTTAGTGGAACTTGACGACAACGACTGAGATACCAACCGATCTGGGCGGGGTTGTTGTAGCCGCTACAACAACAACAACAACAACAACATTCTACTGTAGTTAAGTTAAGAGGTTGTCTATCGCGATAGAACAAATTCAGGGAGAAAGAACCGCTTTCCGTGGGTTACGTTCGCAATATTCACGGGACTGTTGCTCAAACACGATATTATATTCACCCGACAGAGGAGATTAGTAGACAGTATTAAAAGCCCCCCTCGCTGTAGAAGAAGACGCACATAACAACCTCCTTAAGCTCGAGGGCCTTTCGATCTTACTAACCAAGCATTCTACCGCATAATGATTTTGCTTTGACATGAACATGATTTAAGAGAGATGAAAATCTCATTTTGTGCTTAATCTGTAGTCTTTCGATGGGGTTTAGCTTGAAGGAAGTTAAACTAATTGGTTTATATGATTTAGGCGAGTCGGGGGCCAGTGGGCAACTTAGGAATAAATAAGTGCATAGTATGCAACTTTTTCTAAATAGGACTAGTCTTAAATATACAATGCTTCGCTGGATCGGCGCTGGAGACATAACAGCTTCGCCTACAGCTTTGAATGGCCCAAAGGACTTTTTGTGCTAAAGATTGCTATAAATAAATGTACATTATATTATACTTTCAGAAAGTTTTACAAACTATGCTGCACTCATTAACTAAGCACGATTCCTATTTCTTTCTCTCTCTCTTTCTATAGTTGGACATTGTCATCCGAAAGTGGTGCGCGCCGGAAGTCTTCAAATGGCCACAATTTCCACCAACAATCGCTTCCTACACGATGAGCTTGTGCAATGCGCCAAAATATTGACCAGTAAAATGCCTGGCGATCTATCGGTCTGCTTTTTCGTCAACTCCGGTTCGGAGGCCAACGATCTGGCTTTGCGTTTGGCACGCAATTACACCAAGCGGAAGGATGTGATCACGCTCGACCAGTAAGTTTGTCAAATTGAAATAACCTCTACATGTATTTCACATTTTTATTGCTCCTTGTTTCTCTTCTATTAGTGCCTACCATGGACATTTGACTTCTGTAATGGAGATATCTCCCTACAAATTTAATCAACCCGGTGGCGATCCAAAGCCGGACTACATTCATGTTGCCCCCTGTCCGGATGTTTATCGCGGCAAGTTTATCGACAAAGATCACCCGGGCGCCGATATGGCCGAGCTATATAGCGCTCCCATTGTGGAGATCTGCAAGAAGTTGCAGGCACAGGGCAAAGGCTTAGCTGCCTTCGTTGCGGAGAGTTTGCAAAGCTGCGGCGGTCAAATCATACCGCCCGCCGGTTATTTCCGTGCCGTCTACGATGCTGTGCATGCAGCTGGTGGACTCACCATTGCCGATGAGGTGCAGGTTGGTTTCGGCCGTGTGGGCACTCACTACTGGGCATTCGAGACGCAAGATGTAATACCCGACATTGTAACGGTTGCTAAGCCAATGGGCAATGGGCATCCTGTGGGCGCTGTTGTGACCACACCTGAGATTGCGAATGCCTTCTATGCCACTGGCGTCGCCTATTTCAATACATATGGCGGCAATCCGGTTTCATGCGCTATTGCCAATGCTGTGATGCGTGTAATCGAAGAGGAGGGACTGCAGGAGAATGCACGCATTGTTGGAGACTATCTGAATAAGAAATGTCGTGAGTTTAGCTTGGAATTCGATATTATAGGTGATGTGCGTGGCGTTGGACTCTTCGTTGGCATTGAATTGGTGAAGAACCGTGAGACGCGTGAGCCTGACACCAAGTCCGCTCATTGGGTTGTGAATCGCATGAAAACACTGCATAAGGTGCTCGTCTCCTCCGATGGACCTAATGATAATGTAATCAAACTAAAGCCACCCATGTGCTTTAATCAGGAGAATGCCGATCAATTTTTGCAAGCATTCCGTGAGTGCTTGGCCATGCTGGTGAAGGAGAGCAGTAATGCGTCGTTCATGGTTGGTGCTGCCGAAGCGAAGGACAGCACGAGTACGATGTTCGAGAGTCGTCAAAGACTTATTAAATCGTCGTGAAAAGTTCTTTTGTATGAATTATTGTAGTATAATAATTAGACATATGTAATCAATATTTGTATGTTATAAATAGTATTTAAAATAATTTCTTAGTCAAATCATTAGGTTTGTAGCTACGTTAGTGCTGGTGCCATATTTTAAGAAAATAAATACATATAATTTATATAAAAGTTCATAGTGCCAAAGCATACACACAAAATTATATAGCTTCAAGAATTACCAGCACATTATTAAAAACATATTATTAACAATAAGCTCTATAAATATAAATTGTAATTTATAAAAAAACCGTTTATGTTTTAGTTTAATTGTTTATGTATTCGCAAAATGATAATGTGTACGTGTGTGGAAGGCAAAAGGAAAAGTAATGGCGTTTTCGTTTCTACGAAAAATGTTGGTCGATCTTCCACTCAGATAACGATTGGTTTGCTGCCAGGGGAACTTTGTCTTACTTCCATTCAACGTTAGATTAACCTCTTTTGCACCATTCTTTTAGCTAAAAAAATGCAATGTGGATATCAACCGCATCATTTGGAATCACAGGCGCGGAGAGGCGCTTTGATCTACGTAGCCATGCATAAGACACCACTCCGTATAGTGGCTAAACTCGGCCTCAATTATGACCATCAGTTGAACTTGACGAAAACAATAAGGATGATTAGACCAAAGAGCGCTTCAACGAATGTCTCGAAAAAAAACCAAGTAGATACTGTTTTGCCACCTAAACCTAAATTTTTTGCTATAACTTTCTTATTTGATGTCCTATTTTTTAAATCTTTAAGTCGCTGAAAAGGTCTCATTCAGGATTTTCAATGACGAGCTATTTCCTTACAAAATTAATTCAAATCTTCTTCTTTATTGGCCCTATAACCGTCTAAGTGATTTTGGCTGAGTCCAAAACAACACGCCAGTCATTTCTCTCGCGTGCCAACTGACGCCAATTGGAAATGCCAAGTCAAGTCACCTTCTCCACCTGGTCTTTCCAATGCAGAGGAAGCCTACCTCTTCCTCAGCCGCTGTATTTTAATTCGCTGCACTATGTCTATGTCGTTGTAAAGCTCATACAGCTCATCGTAAAATCGTCTGCGGTATTCGCCATAGCCAACGTGTGAAGGCCCGTACATCTTCCGCAGAATCTTTCTGCCGAAAATTCTAAGAACCGCTTTATCGGATGTTTTCATTGTCCATGCTTCCGCGCCATAAACCAGCACAGGCATGATGAGTGACTTAAAGCGCAGTTAGTCAACGACGTAACGTAGACGTAGGTTGACGCAGACACGATCTACCTTATGGGATTCACGTGTTAACGAAAACTCACCACCACATGGCGGTGACGTTGCCGTTGCTTCTCTCTCTCTATCAACAGTAAATTGTATATGCTGCTACGTACGTCAATCTACGTTTACGCTACGTCGTTGACTAACTGCGCTTTTATAGAGTGTAAAGAGGACTTTACTTCTCAGTTGCCTACTCAGTTCAAAGTAGCACTTGTTAGAAAGAGTGGCATTATTATTGGTGCTGGTCTAAGATTTGACAAGGGCACGACTTTCACCTATCTGTTTGATGGACGAAATAAATTTTGTATGAAATGTTTTGTATGTGCTAATAAATGTTTCGCGAGTGGGTTGGCTGAAAACTGCTGGCCAGGATTTTTTTCATTAAGTATTCAAAAATTATTACTTTTGAATTTTGTACTCATTTGTTTAATGAACAAATTATATACCCAATCGAAAGTATTAAGCTTACAGGATGTGAAAACGTTGGGTTGTGAATTTTTTTCCTGGCCTATCGATCGGGTTGGCAGGTAAATATGAACAGGTAGGTAGTACCAATAACTTTCACTCATCTGTTTAACACATGCTATAGGCATAACTGCCGATTGGTTTATATGTAATTTGTTCATTAAAGAAATGAGTGCAAAATTAAAACAAAAAGTTAATTTATGAATAAGTAATTAAAAATGTCCCGGCCAGGATTTTTTCAGCCAGCCCACTCGCGAAAGATTTATTAACACGTTAAATTTCATACAAAATTGATTTCATTAATTAAACAGATAGGTGAAGGTCATGCATTGTCGGATCTTAGACTATTAGTTTATTTGGGAACCAGCATTAACACTGATAACGCCGAATCAGTTCGTTGACGGTAGGCTTCAGTCTTTTGCACAATACACTCGATAAGACCTTGCAACCTATATTAAGGTGGCTGATCCCGTGATAGTTGGCGCGTATAGTGGTATCGCTTTTCTTGTGGATTGGGCAGAGCACACTTAAATTCTATTCACCAGGCATGCGTTCATCTGACCATATTCTGCATAAGAGTTGATACATGCACCTTATCAGCTCGGCTGGCAGGCCGTTAGTTCCTGCAGCTTTGTTGTTTTTCAGTCGCGCAATCGCTATTCGTACCTTGTCATAGTCAAGCGGTGAAACATCTGCTCCATCGTCATCGACTGGGGGCTCAGGCTCGTCTTCTCCACTACTTTCAGTGCTGTTGCCACTCAATGGGGTGAAATAGTGTTCCCTCCATAATTTAAGTACGTTCTGGACATCGGTCACTAGGTCACCATGGTTGTGCTTACAGGAGTTCCTCCTGGTCTTGAAACCTTCCGTAAGTCGCCTAACTCTCTCATAAAATTTTCGGGCGTTTTTCCTGTCGGCCACCATCTCAAGCTCTTCGCACTCATGTATTTCGGCCTCTCTCTTCTTACTGCGGCAAATACGTCTCGCTTCCTTCTTCAGTTCCCTATAATGGTCCCATATGGCTCGCGTTGCACCTGATCGCAGTGTGGCCCTATAGGTGGCGCCGCTTTTGCCTACGGCTTCTTGATATTCCTCATCGAACCAGTTGTTCTTTAGGGATCGCTGAAATCCGACTACTTCTTCGGCGGCGGTACTTAATGAGTCTGAAATATGGTTCCACTGCTCGCGTATGTCGGTTTGTTGAAGAGTATTCCCAGAGAGCAGGTGTAAGAGTCAAGTCGTGAATAAATTTTCCGTCTGTTGTGATTGCAACTTATCGACGTTAAGATTTTTTTGCATTGTTGGACGCACGTTTTTTTTGCACAGATGCGGATGCGTAACATGGCTGCAACAAGATAGTGGTTCGAGTCGATGTTGGCCCTTGGAGTGTTTTTCCGAAAGTGGCGCCAAAGATCCCTTCCTTGCCCCCTTGGCATTGAAATCACCAATGCACGATTTTGATATCGTTTCAGGGACATCGCGCATTTGTTCTCTTCAATTGCTCATAGAAGAGATCCTTGGACGCCTTGTCCTTCTATTCCGTCGGGGCAGGGGCTTACAGGCTAACCTAATATTCCCGGCTTGCGTTTTGGTACGCACGCCGTAGAATTTTTTTTCTTGCGTCACCCTAAATTGGCTTGCGCGCGTTTGTATTTAATTTCATTGAGTGAAATGTCAAATCAAAATGTCACGCAGAAAAAAAATTGGAAATTGAGTTAGCTTCGTACGCACGCCGTTCAATTTCGGCTGGTCCCATACAAGTTGTATGCACATGAGAAAATTTTGACAGTAAATTGGCGGCGTGCGTGAATATTAGGTTAGCCTGTTAGATGGGCGAGATGTTGCAGAATCTGGCTTTGATTCGGATTTCGACTAGACGTTCGTCCATCGTGGTGAACGCCACTATTCAGCGCCGGAGTCTCTCTCCCACTACAAATCCAACACCGATTTTGTTCTCCTTTAAGTGGCAACTGTAGTAGACATCAGGTGCATACCCTCAAATCATAGTCCTTTATACGTTTGCCGTGGTCGTCATCAAAAATAGGGGGATCTCATCCGAAGCTGTTTGTTCTTTTTCATTGGACGGGGTTTCAACGTGGCGGGACCCAAACGCAGCGCACGCGAAGTTTCCGCCTTCTCATTTTAACTCTCTCTCTACCGGGTGTTTGGTCGCTACCCTGCGTATATATCACTTCTGGCAACCCCCAGGTGAATGGCAGTCAAAAGTTTTTCCACCTTCGTTAATTTGGATCATGAAAGGTTAAATAATAAATAAAAAAATAACTAAAAATGTAAGCCTCCACACAATTATAAAAAACATTATAACTTTTTTGTTTATGAATAAAGTTAATGTCCTCATCATTTTTTGAGGGCTTCAGATTTATAGTATAAAAATAATAAACTAGAGATAGTATTTCCAAAATTAGTGATGGTATAAATCAAAATGGGTTTTAAGGCCAAAACCTCTAAGGGCTAAGTATGTGTAGTTCTATGCAAAACCTTTCGGCGACATAAAGCTTAATAAATCGGACATCAGATAAGATTTAGCTCTTAGCGGGCACTTAAAAATAATTTGTACCCCAAAATTTTTTTCGACAAATGTAACTGTTCAAATAAAACACACACTCAACTTTTTTCGTGATACGTCCTTATGTACATATAAAGTATCGATACCTGCATGGTATCGTTTCATCCCTAGGTACTACACGGGATACTGTTCCGTAAAATTTATTTTTCAGAAACAAACGTTTGCGGCTTCTCCGAGCTGGACGGCGAAACGCCATAGCGCATTCTCTGTGCTCACTTGGGTGGTGCTACACTTAATCAATTTGAAATTTAGCACAAAACGCCCTTGGAAGTGCTAGGCGACATTAAAAGCCTTACCCTCTAGAGCTAGCGGTGCTTATGCCCATAACCATCTTCTATATATTAATACGCTAACATAAATTTTGTCTCCATTCGTTTGGCGATTTTACCAAACCGTTTTCAAAGCCAAGAACGCTATTGGAAAGGTAATTTTCTGTAGAGTTTTTATGGTTTCAAAATTAGTTGTCATGGCAACTTGTTCAATTTGTGTTAAAATCCATCTTTATAATGAAGATAAATGTGATGATGGAGAAATAAATGATAACAATTAAGACAAAAAGTTACAGCAAAATTGAAGATAAAGACGAAAATTAAAACAATGAGAAATACAAAACAATAAAAGAAATTGAAAGCGTAAGAAAATTTATTGCAATCTTTAGATAGGAATCGAAATAAACTCAATCATAAAAAAAATAGTTATCGACAGTAATCAAATTACCGAAATTTATCGAATCCTCGAAGTTTATAGTTATCGAATTTTATCGAGTTATCCATGTTTATTGAGTTATCCCAACGTAGCGAATTATTCAAATTGATCAATGTTTATTGAGTTACGAATAATTATCGAGCTGTGAAAATGTATGGGATTATCGAAATTTGTTAAGAGTTAACGTAATTTATCAACTTATCGTAACGCATAGACTTCTTTCAAGCAATAGGCTATCGATATTTATTGATTTACTGAAATTGGTCGATTTATCGAATCGAAGTTTATGCAATTTTCAAAATATATCGAGTTATCGAAATTTCAAGGTCATATAAGTTTATCGAGTTATAACTGCTTACCGTATTTTATCGTGTTAACAGAGTGTAACGAATTATCAAAATTCTCGATGGCTTTCGAGAAATGTGAAGCTTTCAAAATTTATCGAAAGTTATCGATATTTCTAGAGGTATCTAAAGTTTATCGATTTATATCGAGATATATAAATTTTCGAGTTATCAAAATTTATCGGCCCTTGAATCGCAGTTATCGAAATTAGTTGAATTATCGAATTTTGTTGAGTTATCAGATTTTAGTGTTTTGGAAATCCATTGAATTATCGATATGTATCAAATTATCTAAATTTATCGACAAACTGCCAAAGTCCTTCAATTACCTTCAAAGCTATAAAAAATTTCAGCCAAGTTTTAGTTCGAAATCAGGAGTTTTTCTGTCAAGTAATTTTGTACCTTATAAGTCAAACGACATGCTAAGTTAGAAAACATCTCTCTTTGAAAATGTGATTTGTTTTTATTTCGGACATAATATTACAGCAGAATACAAAGTTTGACATTACGGTTTGCAATTAACAACAACCAATAAGCATTCTTTTCTAAAAACATTTCAACTTACCAATCAACCAACCAACCAAATCTAGCTTTATTAATTTACATACTTATAAATGTGAAGTTGAAAATAATTTTTTATGCATACATACATATGTACATAGGCATTGACCTTTTTTTTAGAATTTTCGCTGACTTATTATTTCTTTTTATATACACTAATACCTTTTTTACAGTAATAAATACAAATAACTACCATAACTGACAACATGAAACATGCAAAACTACAAACGATTTCAAAATTAATTAATCAAAGATATACTATGTATGCGAATATTTGTATGTAAGAAGTGAAAAAGTGATTTCCTTATCTAGGCGACATGTTTCGCTCTTGCACCATCATCATCATCATGTGAAACTCGGATTGTATCAGCGGCGGTGTAAAAAGATTCTGTCTCCACCAGGGCACTGCGGGCTGCTCGTTGAGATGTCGCCAACCCGTCTGTTTCGTCGGGTGGCTGAAAAAAAAAGTTTTAGGTTTAGTGAGAATATTATTGAAATATTAATAACACTGGCTTCTAAAATTCGGTGGCGCCGCAATCAATAATAATACTTAATTGCCACAAATGCAAAAAACGCCGATTTGTAAAAAACCTTAAATTTGTAACGCGAGAGACCTATGTACTAGTTGGAGCGTCGACAGCAACAATCGAGTAAAAGACTGTGGAGATTCACCTTTAGCAGTATCATAAAGCCTATGCGTGGACAGAAAGCGCTTAGAAGAGCAGAGAAAGGATTTGTTGAACTTTCATTAAAAGTAGTAGCTAAGAAGCAGTAATGTCTTATTATTCATAAAGTTATTTTATCTTACGAGTTTGAAACACCTTGACTCGTTTGGCTTTGTATTAAAGTGGACTAAGATGTAAATTTTGTATTCAGTGATGATCCTGCCGGAGAAATTAAGTGAATGGGTTGGAATGAAATGTGATTGCAGAATCCTGTAAAACGCAAGAGGGATTTTCCAAGCGCTCAAATCCATTGCACTTATGAAGTGCCTAGAGAAAGAGCTAAGAAGATATGAAAACGCTGATGGGCTGGAGAAATCATTACTCCTCTGCAAAGTTACCAGCCCCTTTTATGGACCTTAGTAATGTGTCGAGGAACAGAGAGTGTAGCTGTTACACTGTTACATTCTGAGCACATTTTCCCTAAAAATGCACCATCTCAGTTTGGCGAAGGTCGGACAAATACGGAGATAATTCTCTGCACTATTCTCATACTTCAAGAAAGATATACACTAGACTGTGCCGGAAAAAAATGTTCGCCGTACTCCCCTGAGTCTAAAGTATTTTTGCAATGCAATTTAGAAAAAAAAAAAAATTGTTTGGCTGAAAGTCGCCTTTTTATATTTTTCGCCATAACTTAGGCATTTACAGTCTGATCTTAATCAAATCGATATTTTTGTCTCGAGGAGATAAATTTCTTTGTGTTTCAAAGTTCATTGAACACAAGTACTTCGTTTTACACCATAATGTATCACCCTAATGTCAATAAATTAAAGCGCACCAAAAATCATTAAACTATTGCTAAGGAAGTACAAATTTCTATTATTCCAGAAGAACTATTTAAAAAAAATTATTGCCGAAAGTGCAGTCGATGTGAAAAATAATAGAGACACTAAATTTTACCAGTTTTGACTATTTTTCTCTTGTACGTTAATGTTAATATTTTTTTTAACAAATTTAACTCATTATCTAACAAAAACCAAATAAGTCTAAATTTCAAACTTGATAGAAAAACGCAAAAAGATTTTAGAACAACAAACTTTTTATTAAGCGTTTTTAGAAAAGTAGTAAGGTTGCTTAAACAAGTGCAAGTTTAGTATGGCTAAAAATTCGTGCTGATTTTTGGATAATACATACAAAGTATATAGAAGTAATAACACCATCGGCCAAAAAATTTCAAAAATCAACAAAAATTCTTACCCACTTGAAACTAGCACTTTGTTAAGCTAGAATTTAATCGGCTTTGTGAAATTTTTCTAATTTTCTGTTTGTATTTTTATAAAAAAATAATAAACATTAAACAAACAAAAGAAAAATGCCAAAAATTGTCAAAATTCGTGCCCTTTATTTTTCACATGCTGTAGTGTATGCATTGGTCGGCTCATATATGTATGCCGAAAGTGTCTTAGACGGTATTAGGCCTGTGTCATACTGAAGATTCTCCGACACTGCCCGACAACTTTCTGCGCTCGATTTACCTTCAGTTCGACGCGAGTTTTCCAGTCAGCTTCCTATTTAGAGTAACTCCTAGATATTGCACTTACGGAAAACTGTGACCTACAAATTTTCTTTTCAACGTAAACAAGAACAGCGTTGCTTTGATGGGATTGACATCAAGGCTCTGAAAAGTGCGCAATATATCAATCCTAAGTGCACTGGAGTAGACTTTAAATTCGTTTGCGTTATTAAAGCCTACGCCAATATATGGAACATTCCCACGCTTCTGCGAACGGGAATTAGTTTGCTGAAACCGAGGCTTATTTTTTATACTTACTTATCTTAGAGTTGACAGTAGAGTTTAGAGTGCGAATACGGAGAATTACTTTCACATCGGACCAAAGTAAGGTCGGCATATTTGATGCCAAGGGCTTAACTCTTCTATAAGAAAAATATGCATTTGACCGTAAGCGAAAGGATATTGAAGAAAAATTACATCTGGGGAAAAAGGAGGACTCGCTAAGAACGCGGATAAAGATTTCACACTGGCCTCTCCGAAACTAAGAAATATATCTGTGTTCGTATGGAAAAGTAGCTTATGTCGAAAGGCTGACTTTAGTATAACGCGGCATTCCCTTTATTCTTTAAACGTCAAGGACTTTTTTGAAGAGACTTAATGAGAATATTGACTTGCTAGTATCGGAATTATTTCTTGCACGTTTATTTGCCAAAAGTTGTTCAACGGCTCAGCGCCAGTGAGTAATTCGCAATCGTATGCTGCGAATGCCGATTTATACTAAAGCAAGCCTTTCGACATAAGGTACTTTTCCATACGAACACAGATATATAGCATTTCGCTCACTCTAAAGGCCTAAGTAATATCACTACAACAATGACCTCAAAATAAGAATCCCAGGGCAAGCTATACATATGTAGGTACATTAACTGACAGTAAACCAGGCAGGAGTGAAGTGAGGTTCCAAATACACTATTGTCGCTGTCTCAGATCAAACAAAGTCACAACTCCAATTATTTCGACTTATCAAAGTCTTTATCGGATACTGACTTAAGTACTTAAAAAATTTATTAAGAAAACAGTCCTCTTTACATACCGCTGACGCCTCGAGAAGAATCTCCGCACCCGAAAACGAGTCGTTTCTGGAATTTCGCAAGAATCTATAAATCGGCGAAATATATTGCTTTTTCTCGGTACCTCCGCTGCCGCCGTTGCTGTGTGTGTCTCCGTCAAAAGAGGCGGTTGTGCTGCTGATGCCGCTCTGCTGCTGCATGCTGCCTGCAAATTTACCGCCGCCGACACCGACGCTGGTGAATGCAGATAATGGATTCTGGAAATGCAGGTTGATATTGAAATCACGATGACCCTGAGAGACGCGACGATAGTACAAGTACCCAACGCCGGTGCAAAGCATAGCTAAGAGCAACAAAATCAAAATGATTGTAACCGCAGCATGTGGAGTCGACTCATGGTGGTCCGAGTACCCCTCATCGTTAAGCAAAGCACTGGACAGTATCTCATTAGTTGCTTCTTTCGGACAGCGTACATTTTCACCAACAAAAGCATCGCCACACATACACTCATAACCGTAATCGGCCTGCACACACATACCATGACACTTGGCCATGTCACAAGGGTTAGTGGCGTGTGGTTGTCGCGTTGCGCCGTCTACCACAACATCTTCGGCGTTGAGTATGTTCAAGTTGAAGGCTTTGCAGGTGTGTGCGCCAAAAAGCTGACAGTGCACTGCCTCCTTGGAGCCGATGTTCACAATAAACGCTTGATTCTCATAGATGGTGAGCCCAGATGGATGCATAACTACATTACCCTTTTGTATAATAGTGCGCGGCACACCCGAACTGCTCGGGCGATAATCAAATACTTGCAGTGTTTTTGTGTGCATGTCCACAAAGTAGAGTTCACGCTTGTAAGGATCGCAGGCTAAGGCGGTGATATAACCTCCGCGCTTTAGTAGCAGTGTCACATGTTTCTTGCCATCCAAGTGGGCCATGTTGATCTCGGTAATAGGTTCATTAAAGCTTTGTGCGCGCACGGTGGCGTAAAAGAGCCGACGACTGAGTGCGTCTACAGCCAATGCGCGTATAGTTTCGCGCGGGTTGGCTTGAACTATCAGGCCACACATCCTTGCCTCAAACGAGCACACCTTGATACCATACTGCCCAGCGCGCGTAATGACATAGACGTTGTCTGTGTGGGAGAAAGTTGAAATGTAAACAAAAGACTTACCGGCGCATTTATCGAAACTTTCTCACCTGTGATCCAGTCTACCGCCACCTTTGTGGGGGTTTGCACCCACAGCCCAGACTTCACTTCGCCCTTATCCATGTCCACTTTGTATAACACATCCTCCACATCGGTGCTAAAGTAAGCCATTCGTTTGTGCACATTCAAATCGAAGCCCGCGATCTTTGAGTCATTTACCGACCAAGCGACTCGCAAAGTGATTGGCTGTTCTGTCATGCTGCGCACTTCATTGTAGGTGGAGAACATTAGTGTCGACTGACTTTCAATCGATTTGCAGGTGGTCTTGTCGGGACGCAACATAAAGTCCGGATAGCACTTGCAGCGATACGAACCATGTGTGTTCTCGCAAAGTTGCGCACATGGTTCACTTTCCTCGCACTCGTTCACGTCGATACAAGTGCGCTGATCCACGTCCAAGCGATAGCCTGGAAAGCATGAGCAAACCGCACCCATAGGTGTTGGACGGCATTTGTGCGTACAAAATGGTCTATTCGATAA